GAGAGAGAGAGAGAGAGTAAGAAAGCGTGAAACGTGAGAACGTGAGAAATTGCGAGAGGAAGGAAGTGAAACAGGTTGACAGAGAGAAAGGTGGAGAGAAAGAGGATGGAATGAGAGTGAGAGACTAAAAGGAAGGAGAGAAAGAAGAAGTGAGGAAGGAAAGAGCGAACGGGCGAAAGAAAGAAGACGAGAGAGGAGACACAAGAGTATCGTAGTACACAGAGACACGCATTCATGACACTCGGAAATACATGTACATGCAAAAACCCACATACATCTACAGGGACATACACATATGTATACACACACATTTGCGGACACACTAACACCTACAAGTGCATCCACATGGACATATACTGACACACAGGGACACGCAATATTATATATATACGACTCCATAGATGATGGCGCGGCACACTCACATAGTGTCTCTCGGATTGTTCCACAAAACTTTTCATTCGAGTTTGCTTCAAGAAACCTTCTGTTTTCTAATGTATGACGTGTTGTTGTCGATATATAAAATAAACTTAATAAAAAAATACACGATGCGGTATAAATCTACCCTTCATTCTATCCACTGTCCACGTTTTGATGCCATATTACTGGAAAAATATTGAATCGTCGAGCATCAAGATCAAATTTTTTTGTTAACTCCGTTTGTTCCTTTCGTTGTCAAATTTAAACTTATCTAAGAAGACAGAAAGAGCAATTATCGATCTTTTGTTCAATTTGTTTGATACAAGGGATACGTGTATAAGTATTTCCCTATTAGAAAGATATTTTGGATGGAATTACATTTGATTCTGATAAGAATAGAAACGAATTAACAGATGGAAATACGCGAGCTAAATAGAATCTATAAACGAATAACAGAAAACCATTATCGATGATCCATCAAAGTTCATCAAGTATTTTTGATTTTTCAAAGATCTTAAAGATTTCTTAAAACTGCACGGATCATCGTATCATAAAATTTTGATGAAATTTCAAATAATTTTGATTTTATCTTCGTGTACAATATTATATAAGAAATAAGTTAAATTAAACCGAAAAAATATGATAAAAATCTTGGATATTCCTTCCTATTGCAGTTCATTAATATTTAAGAAATAATAAAGACCATTGGATGACTAAAAAGGTGATATTTTTCATAAAAAGATTCTATAAAATTCGTAGAAAAGATTACATATTTGATAAATCTAATTCATCGATATTTTCATAACGTAACAAGTGAAACCAAACTTTTATCAAATAATTTTTATTAACACAGAGAGATTTAAAAATTGGAAAAAAACATTAAAGTTGAAAATATTATGACAGATTTATGAATTTAAACAGTCCGATAAATGTATTTCCAAATTCTCCCCGTGAAAAA